GACGCTCCTAGAAGCCAGTGGAGTTTCAGACCTGTTGGCGCCAACGCTGTCGTCGCCGGCCCCTGCCCTCCGCTCTCGCCGCAGCCTCCCGGCTGGCAGGCGGGCCAGTCCGTCCATCCGAGGAAACTTCTGGAAAGCGAACAGCAGACGCTCCTAGAAGCCAGTGGAGTTTCAGACCTGTTGGCGCCAACGCTGTCGTCGCCGGCCCCTGCCCTCCGCTCTCGCCGCGGCCTCCCGGCTGGCAGGCGGGCCAGTCCGTCCATCCGAGGAAACTTCTGGAAAGCGAACAGCACCCGTGCCCCAACGGAGCCGCGCACACCCACTGCCGCTGCGCCCACAGGACTTCCTCAGGGCACGCAGTAAGAAGCCTCCCCCTCCCGCTGATGGAAAGGGTTAAAAGCCACGGACTTTCTTTCCCGGGTCTCCAGCCCTTCCCTGGCCAGGCTGCAGCAGTGCAGCTCCCCACCGGCACAGAACGGAACGCAGGCCCATCGATTCTGTCCATCACGGTGACAGAAAGTTAATTTGCTGCCCTTATCACTCGGTGCTGTCTCAGGCCGGGCACGGGTTTGTTTCCCCTCCAACCAAATGGTTATAAATTGACACTGTGCGTGGCCTAGTACTTCACCTTGCCTCAGCTCAGGTATGAAAGAGGCATAAGGCATCAGAAAAACAAACCCAAAAAAGCCTATTTCTCTCCTACTTCCCATAAATAAATACCACAGTGGAAAGTCACTACAGAGGGCTCTGAAGCTGTAATGTCCGCTGCCTCCCAGAAAAGCTAGTAAACCTTTTGTTTCCTTGCTTCATGTCCGCCCTTCCCATGGCTGGTGCACAGACTGTACCAACCCTAAATACTGTGCTGAAAGAATCCCAGTTCCCAGCACCGAGGCGGGGACACTCCATCCTTGCCCCAAAGCAGGCACAACTTCCCCAGAACGCCTCGTTGCCTGAAAAGACACGTCATCCCACTCGAGGTTCAGCACCCCTCTTCCTCCCGTCATGGAAAAACAAAGCCCCACATGCTGCAGGTGCTCTCTGCTCGTTAGGGTACCTGGAAGTGCAGGCAGGAGAGGCGAAATGAGGACCAAAAGATGGATGCTGTTGTGGTGGACAGCAGGCCGCGTGCTGGCAGGGCTTTATTTGGATGTCTAGTAACAAGCGAACGCGGTGGGAAGATGCAGAGTCTGGGCACAGACAGGTCAAGACTGTTTGGGTGGGTTTAGGGTTTTGTTTGGGTTTTTTTTGCCCAGGGGTTTGGATTTACATCCTCTCGTTTCTCCAGGAGTTCACCCGCCATGCAATGTCGAGATGAAAAGCACGTTATCCTGGTCCTGGAGTTTATAATCCAGCTCACCCTGCAGGCCGAGAAAAAAAAAAAGAAAAATGGTTTAAATGTCATTTCCAAATACTAGCTGCAAAGAGAAAGCAGCTCATAAAAAGATGGTGAGCGTTAGGGAGAGCAGAAGGGGACAGGCTCATGTTTTCATCCTAACGGAAGCAAAGGTGAGAGATCAGACGAGAAGCTGCCGTTCATGATGCCACACCACTTTCTGGGCCAGGGTGTTGACAGAACAGCTCATTGCCTGAGGCAAGAAAATAGTTGGGGGCTGTTTGTTGCCTGAGCGCAACAGTGGGCTGAAAAGGGAAGATTTTTACCAGTTGCCTGTTGGGGCAGAAACCTCCCCGGGGCTGCCCCCGCCTGCCGCGGCACCACCTTGGTCTGCCTGGGGCGGGGAAGCTGCCTGGTACCCGCGGAGCTGTCACCCCGCGCTGGGGAGACCTGCTGGCAGCCAGAGGTGCGAAGCCCGTTGCCAGAGGCCACGGAATACGGGTGATCTCTCTTCAGATACTGGCTGGCTGATGAGACTCAGCAGGTTAGAGAAAGGCTCCAGGCTTCTGAACAGCCACTGTACAATACAGGGAGAGAGATCCCAGCCTGCCCCTTCCCCCTCAAACACGAGATGCTTTGCTTGGGGCAAGAATCAGAAATAGCTTCTCTGAGAGCAACCACAGCACAGACAGAGCGGTATTTTCAACACAGAAAGTCAAACTGAAGGGGTACAGACCATTAGTTCCCAGTCTGCATCGTTGATGAGCACCAAAATTCCTGGCCTCCTGCAGAACAGAGAGAAATAATTAGGATCCAGGGCTGCTAAAAAGCTTCACAAACAGTTAAGAACAAGGGATGCTGAAGCACAGATCACAAGCCGCCTGCCTATAAAGCCAAAGAGAAAAAGGAATCCTAGCACGGAGGTGGAAACAGGTACGGTCTGTGCCCTTTCTAGATCAAATAAAAGGGAGGCAGGAGCAATCCCAAAGCTCATTTGAATCAAAATGCACCATTCCCGAGGATGCTCCGCGATGACTACATTTCCCTTCGATGTAGAAAAGCCAGGTAATTAAAACCCACGCACTACAGTCGAGTGCAGAGAGCTCGATGTGAAGGCAGGGAAAGCTATTGCAGTGCCCCTACCAAAGGCACTGAACACCCGGGATCCACTCCGAGCCCCTGATTACAGGCAAAGGGATTCCCCCTCTTTGATCTTCAGTGTCCTGCAATTGTCTCTCCTGTTACCAGGGGACCTGGCACACGCTTCAGCTCACAAAGATCCGTGACGAATGTTAAACACCCCCAGCGCCACCCTGCAGTCAGGGATGGCTTGCACAGCTCACTCTGCTCCATTTCCATTTCTCTTGGCTTTTTTTTATCCCCCCCCCCGCCCCCCCCCCTCCACGAGGTTGGCCCCATTTCGACAATAAAAATACATTTCCCAGAAGAAATATTTGTTGGCATTTCTCCGAATGACTGCTTCAGTCCCAGTGATGTCAGCAGGGAACGGGCAGACCTGCTAAAACTCCTGGAATTGAGGATACGCGCGCTACGCTGCTCCAGGTGACAACGCAGAGGAAGTAACCGTGGCCCTGCTTCACACTTAAGGTTTAAAGATTTGGGGTGAGGGCTGCAAAAGATGTTCTCCGTGGAACAGGGTGAGGTGTAGTGTGGGACACCTCCCGTTATCACTTTAGCAAATCCCCTCTTTTCATGGTCATTAACTTGCTTCTTGCAACCAACAGGCAAAACGCATCCCAAACCGTGGGGATCAACAGAGAAACACGAGGAGGATTCGTAACAGCCGTACTTACACAGATTCCCCTTGCATAAATAATTCTGGCCGTTCTTTCAACAGATTCTGTTTGATCCACTTTAGCAGGTTTCTGATATCCCCTGAAAGGAGAAAAGACAGCAGTTTACAAACTTGCTGACAGCTCCTAGCTGATGCCAGAACAAGGTGATTGTTTATCCACAAAAGAGGATGGGCTCTATCTTATCATACACAAAATAGATGAGGAACACGCAGGATGGACGGGGATAGCTGCAAACCTCCCGTCAGAGAAACCACCTAAGAGGACCATCCCTTACCAGCACCGGACAGCCCTGCCTCACGGGAGCGCAGAGCTCTGCCCCAGACCCCACCGTACGGCAGAAGAGGTTTCCCGAAGAAAACCCACCCCAGAAGGAAGGACTGCAGCTCACGCTGAAGCGCCAATCCAGCAGCAGACTGGCCGTGTTACGATTCCTTTAACGCATCCCAGATCCTGTGCGTTCCGTTACCACCCCACAAACTGATGTTTAACTCTCTGTGTGTTTCGTTGGATTTACAAAGTCCAAACAAGCAAGCCTAAGAACCTGAACAGAGCACAGGCAGGCACTATCGGTACCAAACCCAGCAGGAACCCTCGGAGACGCGAGTTCCGGGGCACAAACGTGCACATAACCACACATTACGCACGCACGCAGGCACCGGCCACAGTAGCTGTATTTTGGACACTTGCAATATCCCTCGGCATCACACCTGCTGCCGTGGTGTGTTCCCCACGCCGTGCCTGCTCCCCCCTCTACACTTTGTGCTTATAGCTTCTTTATTAAAGCTCAGCCTTTATCTTTCCATTTCAGTAGGTGACAGGAAGGATTTGTCTTCATGTAAAAGGAGGAGGAGACACTGCTGGCGGGTTTTTATAGTATCAATTTTACTTTGTGAGGCAAAAACAATTTCTTTAGTGATAGCATCAGTTAATTTCCTATTGGAGAGGTGAGAAGCGACAGAGGGGGGGGGAATAATCCGTTACAGGGTTTAGAGAAGCTGATAAATTGCAATGTGGAGTTCTCCTGCATTTGCCTCTATATTTCACCGTCCCACAAACCACTTCATCATTCTGAATCCACAATCAGTTATTCTCCCGGGGCTCCTTTAAACAGCCCTTTGAAAGCCCCAAAAGAGTTTTGTTTGTTTTCGAGGCATGAGGAAGCTTTTTGAAGGCACAAATCCACCAGCGAGGGCTGGAGCCCCGCTCGCAGGGCGAGCAGAGGCAGCGCGATGGGTTTCCACGTCTGTCGCACGTGTGGCAAGCTCACCGCAGTCACAGGCAACCTTTCCACACACGCCTCTCTGAGCCAAAAGCAAACTCTGCGTACGATTCCCCGTGCGTTTGCTTCACGACTAGCAAAAATAAATGTGCGTGGGGTGGCTCGACTCCGGCCTTGCCCTACCCCAGGATCTTACGGGATCGCGGCTGCTGCCCAGAGCAGAGCTGGGGTTCTTCCGAATAACGTCACCCCCATCACTTCTGTCACACCAGGGACGAACAGCCCTGGCGTAGGCAGGTGCACATCAACTAGGCGATGGGGACACGTCCATCTGCAGCAGATGGGGGCCTCTTTTCCCAGGGAAAGGGGGAGGGGGATGCTCTGAGATTCCCTCTGTTCCCCCCCCTGGTTTCCCAGGGCATCAGTGCCTCTGGACGACAGCCTGACCCCTCGCACACTGGTCCCACCGCAGGGCTGCCTGGAGCACGACAGGTATTGCTGCCTCTGAGCACTGATCAGGGCAAAAAGAGCTGCTTTGTGCCTTAAAACTGCCTGGTGAGCTGGATCACCTGCCCGGGGCCAACCCATGACTCCTTTGTAATGACATGTAGTTAAGAGCACAAAATAGACCATTTTCTGCTGCTTTCATGGCAACCTGCACCGGGGACGGCGAGCACCACTCAGAAGGAACATACATATATATATACATATATATACACACACATCACGCCGGTGGCTCAGCCACCAGAACAAGAGTTAACTATATTCGCCTTCCCCTGAAAAATGCTGCTGCAACATAAAGCCCTCAGGATCCCACACCCAACCGGCTCCTGCTCTCCATCACCAAGAAATGAAAGCCGGAGAGGATGAAAGATGGAGAGGAGCCTTCAGGAGACGGAGGGGGGGCGCGAAGGGGACACCAGCCCCACCGCAGCAACGCCCGCGAGCTGTTTCATATTTATGCACTTGCGGCAGGGCACACAACAATGAACTGTGCCATATACCATTCTCCTTGCGTGGAATAAGCAGCCCTTTCCTCTGGGACCTTTCAGGAGAGATCATTTAAACAGAAACACGCTGCACCAGCTGGATAAAAGACAGCCACCTAGAAGCAGCCTGGACGAAGAGGCGAGAGGACTGATTTATTCGAGGCTGAGCTGGAAGACTCCCTCACCCCTACTCCTTCCATAATAAAGGTTATTTTCAGCCCCACCTGAGCCTACATTCATTTACTCCTCCCCAGAAGTCACGTACACACAAACTGAGGAATTTAGACAGTAGGAAAAAACCCCGATACCCCTGCGCACGCCTGGAGCTTCCCCGCTCCAAATGGCAAAGAAAATTAAGACCCCTTCTCCACAGCCAACCTTAAGACCTAATACTTTCAGCTGCTTTCTCAGCATTGAATTTGTTCCCCCACCTTCATGTCTCTACATTCTGTACACCCATATTACTAGAACAAATCAATTATAAAGGATGAAAAATGACCAGAGCCACACCAAAACCATCTCCCACAAGTAAGATATTGAAAAGGAACAAGATTACTTCCATTGCAAGTGGTCTGGGGAGAAGCCATCTTGCAGCTCAGTGCCTCGAACAGCAGCCTTGATCAACAGCTCAGGCCTCTGTCCGTTATCATGACGGAAATAATAAGAGGTGAATTACAGCACAACCGCTTATCTCTCATAGTTGACATACGTGGCGGTCCTAAGACGTTTTCTTTCTGATACTAAGCTACGGGTCTAACAGGTTTCCAGCTCCCTGGGCTGAGGATTTGCTATGCAAACAGCAGGTCCTCTACAAATGACGTATAAGGAAGGGAAAAAAAAAAATCTCAACCAGGCCAACCTCACCATATCCGCTGGCAACTTCAACCCTCACTACAACGCACCGATTTTACACTCGTGTGGGTTCTGACGCTGCCCCCCCCCGCCCGAACAGAGGCATCTCCCGTTTGCAGGAGCACGGCTGTACTACGTGTGCTGCCATGGGGCTGCAAAAGCCACTGTGCCTTTTGGGCCAGGAGTGAGGGTCTGGTGAGAGCCGAGACAACACGGCGTTTCGCTGCCACATCACCAACTCAAGTCCAGCCCATCCCCGTAATGATATATTTTTATCACTGCTGCACGGTCACAATGAAATCCTTTTGGTAGCCTACTCCATCTCATTCACAGCAAACAAATATCCACCCCCAAAAATCCATCTAATTATCGTTAACTGCCCTTGCCATTGGCAGCACCAGCAGAGAAGCATAAGTGAAGCGGCCAAGGAAGCTAAAACATTCTCAAACTGCAACAGAGGGACTGAAGCACATGGTAGGAAATCCCTGTCTTATCTGTACACAGAGACAGCTTCTGTTGCCTGTGCTAACAGTACATCAAACCTCTCCAAATTCTCAGGAAAAATAATCTAAAGTTAATTAAAAAAAAGAAAAACCGACAAACGTTTGAGAAAACTGCTTAGTTCAAGTGCACAGATGGGAGCTCAAACCCACAATACATGCATAAACCAAATCACCCAGCGAAACACACAGCTCAGGAAAACGAAGTGTGTGCTTGCAGGGACACCAAGTCATTGGCTTGTCACGCAAGCAGACAGGATGCAAAAACTGCAGCGAGCGTGCACACAAAAACCCAACAGTGTCGGCTCGTTTTCAGCCCAGCTGCATCATAAACACTCCTGGTTGTGGCAGACAGAACTGCACAGCCTGCTCGGTCCTCTCGTGCATCCTCCGAGGCCTGATCCTCTGCATTACCCCAACTGTTCCTTGACGAAGAACCTGCTGAGCTCCCCCTGCAAGAGAAATGCACCCAAGACTCCATTTTAGCACAGCCTGGAGCGAGAGCCCAGGTTCATCTGCGCCCTCAAAAGCAGGGCTGAAATCCACAGACCTTTCCTAGCTCAATAAAACCTCCTGGGCCTGACAGATCCACCAGTGATAACTCAGCAAAGAGGACACTCGCTATGTACAGAGAGAAACCAGGTGCCTCGGATCAGGAACACCAAGCGGGGTGTTGCACTAGCAGGATCTCACACGGGGCTGATAAACGTGCAGAAACGCAGGATTTTGCACAACCGTAACACCGGTTGACAGGGACACGGAGCACTCAGCTCCCAGGTCGCTGGCAGATTCACACACACACGCGTGCCATGACCAGACACCTCCGTGTCCCCTGCCCTAAAACCCACATACAAACTCACACAAAGCACACAGTGCCTCGAAGGGCACCCAGAGGGTGTCATTACACCCACATCCTTGCCTCGGCTGCAGAACTGGGAGCTTATTTCAGGGAAATAGGGGAACCCTATAAAGGCCAAACCATGGAAAATTCCCTTCTGGTCTGTAATAAATAAGATATATGCAGCACTGGTCACTAAGGGGTCAGTGCTGCAAGAGCACGGCGCTTTCCCGGGCCGCCTTGCGGATACCTCCCTGTGGGGTACCATTTCTTTGACCCAGAATAAGATCATTTATCATACTGACCATGGCTGAGCTCCAATTTGCTGAGGTCACTAACTCTGGACGAGCACCGCTCCACCCACATTCTCAGCCACCGGCCTGTAACCATGACAAAGCCCCTTCCCTGCCGCTCCTCTGCCATTATTCCCCCTGCCTGCATGGAAATGTATGGAAAGACAATTTGTATGCCCCTTTCCCTGCTTAGGCAGCTTGTTTTTGAAATAGATGAACCAGCTCCCAATACCTGCTGCCCCTCCAGGTGCACGGCTTCTCTCTGCTTTTGAATCTGATGGCCCTCCAGGAACCTGCTCTCTAAAAGAGCTTGTTACAAAACCTGACCTAAGGGATCCTCCAGACTCCTCCAGCCTCCCATCTGATATGCAAATCATTCGCTGAAGCA